ATTTCAATATAAAGTGAAGTAATTCGAAATCAACGACCCCAAAAACTCAATAAGTATTGATTTTCAAGCAAATTCGGTGAATTTTAAAATTTGTAGGTTATTTCGGATCCGCCATTTTGAATTATTGAAAAGTAACTTCAGATTCGTAACCGGCGACCCCAAAACCCCCGAGTAACAAATTTCAGATAAATCCATTGAGTTTTTAAAAAAATTGTCCGCCATATTGGATCCGCCATTTTGAATTTTTGAAAACTTATACCGTATTCGTGTTTAGTGACCCAAAAAACATAAGTAGATGATGCAGAAATAAAAATAATTCATCAATATATTATTTTTTGCAAAATAGTATTTTTTAAATGTTTTTTTTAGTGGAAAATCGCCATTTTGTCGTTCGCCATCTTAAATTTTGAAATTCGCAACTATATAGTTTTGTAGCTGGGTATTCGAGGACGCGATATTTTGGGTTCCGGAGCAAATTAACTGTCGTTTTTCATGTTAAAATATTTTTTGAATAAAAATTTTTTTGCAGAAAATCATGTTTTTTTGCAATAAAATTGTTATAAATATTAAGAGTTTAATTATAATTGAATTTGGACTTCAGAATCGAAAGAGCGATAAATTTTACGTTAGAAATGGGCTATCCTGAATTTTTTAAATTATTTTTTCATATAAAATAACAGCTGCTAAGTAAAGGTAAATTTTTCGTCCTGGCTGTCGTTAATGGGTTAAAGAAATAAATAAATATTTATTTTGTAACATTAAAATTTTGGTCAATTTCTCAATGTAAAAAAATGATTTTTATGTTCCGGACCCGCAAAAATTTTTTTTTAATCTCATTTTTTTTATTTTTAAAACAAAAAAATGTGGAATTGAAAAAAAAATTTAGGGGGTTCGGAACATAAAAATCATATATTACTGCAATGAATTAATTATACACCATTTAAAAAAAAAACAATAGTATCTTAAATCATATTCTATTTGAGAAAGATTTTTTTTTAAATTCATTTAATAACACATAGTTAGTTAATTAAAATCCACAGTTCAAAAGGTAATTAGTCATTAACAATGGTCATTAGTAGTCGAATATCCTCTTGCTGTCATGACTCAACAATTTTTTTTGCTCTAATGCTTGTTTGACGTAAAGTACATTTCAATTTATTTATTCAGTTTTCAAAGAACGAGCTGCATAATATCGTCTCCTTTTTTTTTTTGTTTTACACACAGGTACATATATCTATATAGTGCTTTAATTTAATTTTTTTTTCTCATTAAACAACGCTTATTAACTATGCAAATGAGTATAATTAATTGGAATTTTTAAAAAATTATTTTCATCTTTATTACAGTTTATGAATGTTTATGTTTCAATCGTATTAAAAATTTGATTGCGCATATGCAAAATTTGTTATATATAGAATTGTGACAAATAAACTTGTAATTGTTTTTGGATTATTTACAAAAAAAAAAATTGAATTTTTTTTATAAATTTTACATTTTATAATCAATAGTGTCGTTTACAATAATTCTTATTTCGAAGGGGGTTTTTAACCTAAAAAAACAAATAAATTTTTCCGAATCAGTTTTGCTTGTCCTATTTTTTGTTTAAACTGACCCTCATATATATGGTTTGTAATAGCGTATTGCTCGTGTAAATTATAGTTGATTCAGAAGGGATTATCAATTAAGATGATACTGTCCAGGGGAAATTTATTTGTCGTCAGGATGAAAGCTTTTGAACGACCGTTCAACGTACAAATTACGAGTGTCAATAGTGGATTATTAATATTGGTCAAGAATAAAACGTGTTATTATCGCCTGTTCGGTCGCGACGAGCCATATATATAGGCAACGGTCGATGACTATATTTCTTGCATACAATTCCAGTTTTAGCCTTTAAAGCGCCATAGCGGTCTCTCAGACCGCGCCCAGATAGCACACGTAACCTTGCAGCAACCTTGCGGCAAGCTTCAAAGGTCCCACCTGACCCAAGCTTGCATGGTAAGCTTACCGAAATATTGCAGTGTAAGGTTACTGCAAGATTGCATAATAAGATTATCGCAAGACTGCTCAGTAAGTTTGCACGGTAAGCTTGTAGCAAGGTTGCTGCAACGTTGCCAAAAAACCTTGCTTTTTAAAAAAAATTTTTTTTAAATGTTTCGTCTAATTTCTATAATAAATACCTTACATTGCAATATTTCGGTAAGATTACCATGCAAGCTTGCGTGTCAGGTGGGATATTTGAAGCTTGCAGTTAGCTTACGGCAAGTTTGCCGTGCAAGGTTGTCAATATTGCGCGGCAAGCTTGCCGCAAAGTTGCTGCAAGCTTACATGCTATCTAAATATTTTTCGATTATTACTTTTTTTTTTAGAAACTTCGGCTTCATATTTTAAGAAAAACTGTTAGGTATTGTTTCAAAGTTTCAAATTCGTTAAATTTATGCTATAAAATTTTGTTGATTTATGAGATAAATATACAATATATGAAACGTAGTATGTAATAATAATCTTTTTTTAAAATCAAGTGAAAAAAAAATTGCAAACGTCTAGAATGGATGACAACAAGATCGTTCACTCAGTGACAGGTTATATATATATATATATATATATATATATATATATATATATTATAATTAAGTTGGTGTGTGTTGCTTTTGGATATGCTCAGCCATATAAAATCTTGATTTTCTATTTATATTTTTATCTTATTTCTACGATCAAATACATAATGTTCCTAATGTTACAGATACAAAAATTTTCCAACTATTTTGCAATAAAAATTCAAAATTTTTTACCTATAAAAAAGACCAATAGAAAAGCTATATATTTCTAGATATGACAATAGGAGCCCCTTAACCGCATAATTACCAAACCTAAATTTGATTTTTTATTCGTAAAAAAGTTTTTTTTTTAGAGTTATATACTAAATTGGAATTAAGGCCAGGTCCAAGTGAGGCAGGGCCATCTACATTGATACTAAAATTTTGGAAAATTTTCAACAGCCTTTTCTTGAAAACAAGATGGTAAAATGCTTTTTCCTTTATAGATAATTGATTATTGGCAAGATATACACCAGCTAAAACTTTTTTTGAGTTAAAATAATAAAAAAAATTTCATGTCAATAAATTAAATATGAGCGCACTTTTTTCACAAAAACTGTAACAGTACTTTCTCAGAAATTACAATCAAAAATGCAATTTCCATTTGGAAAATTAATAAACGCTAAAAAATACACGACCTAAGATTTACCAATCACGAAAATAACAAAAAAAAAGTATTTTAACATAACATATTTTACTCATTATGACAGCCGTTTGGCAGGTTATATATGTCAACAGACGTTTCGCAGTTTTGCCGAAAGGAGGAAATTGGCGCTGTTGCTAACCACCTGAAATACATAATCTACCAAAGGGCTGTCACAATCAGTAAAGCAGTATCAATATGTTAAATATTTAATAAAATTTTTTTTTCTTATTTTCGTGATTGGTAAATCTTAGGTCGTGTATTTTTTAGCGTTTATTAATTTTCCAAATGGAAATTGCATTTTTGATTGTAATTTCTGAGAAAGTACTGTTACAGTTTTTGTGAAAAAAGTGCTCATATTTAATTTATTGACATGAAATTTTTTTTTATTATTTTAACTCAAAAAAAGTTTTAGCTGGTGTATATCTTGCCAATAATCAATTATCCATAAAGGAAAAAGCATTTTACTTTCTTGTTTTCAAGAAAAGGCTGTTGAAAATTTTCCAAAATTTTAGTTTCAATGTAGATGGCGCTGCCTCACTTGGACCTGGCCTTAAAAAGTTTTATTTTAGAGTTATATACTAGATTGAAATTAAAAACAAGTTTCCCTGAATGTTATCTTGAAAATATATATATTTTTAAAAGAAAGTTTTATATTGTTCAATACGAGTCTTATGTTTAAATTGCAAAATTCAAAATGGCGGATCCAATATGGCGACAAAAATCTAAGTTGGAAATTGAAAAATGACTTTAGAAGATTTTTCTCTGTAAATTTCAAAACTTTGTAACTCTAAATAACAGTTTTTTAAATTCAAAACATTTTTCCCAGTATTTTTTTTTTTTGCAAAATTAGTATTACTATTAGTATCCAAAATACTTGTAGTTTTTTTTTTTATTAATTTTATTTATATTTCTTTACTAATTATATTTTATTTATTTTATTAAATCACTATGTGCGGGCTTACAATTTAATAAAAAGAAGAAAAAAATATTGCGCAAATTTTTATTAAATTTATTATTTTATATTGAAATATAAAAAATCAAAGGAAGTATTACAAGTTGTTGAAAATAAAAATCGAGAGGATGAAAAGAATCGAAAGCAAAAAAAAAAAGAAAAGAAAAAAAAAAGAAAAAAATAAAGTGAATAAGAGATGAGATACTTGAGGAACGTGACACAAACCGCGGAGGTATGATGGATGAGAGGGCGGTCGATTTAGGTGATCGGGACATGATCGCTCGAGGTCGGGGTGGTCTGCCTGTCTGTTCACGTCCATATGATCAATGCCGTCTGCATTAAAAAAAAAAAAAAAAAAAAAAATTCTCACAACAATTTTTCATATTTCCGTTGAAAACTGGTCGAAGAAAACTAGTACCCTGTTCACGTATTTTCTAAATACCTTTTATTTTATTTTTCAAATTTTTCAAATCAGGGCCGGCTTTAAAAAAGAGATCTAATTTTTTTCCAATTAACAAAAAAAAAAAAAAAAATTAAATACACTTGAAATTTGAAAAATAATGAATATTTTTAGAAATTTATAAATAAACAAACATTAATTAATTCACATTTATTTTATAATTTTTATTAGATAATTAATAATACAAGAAAATTGTGCAATCTAATGTTATATATATAATACACTTTAAATTAATTATAGTCAATTGACAAAGCACTGTGAAATGACATTGGCACGCGATTCCAACACGCGAGCTTAACATTATTATATATCTTAAATACTTTTGCAGTTTTTTGTTAGCGTTCTGGGAAATAGGATTCAAATATAATAAAAGATTTAAAATTATACCCTTTTTCTCTTAAGCGAAGTATTATAAATAAATAATAAAAAAAAAAAAAAAACATCAACATTATTTTTCAAATATAAAAATAAAATAAATATTTTTCTTAAATTTAGAAATTCAGAAATTACAAGTGAAAAAATAATATTACTATAGAATAAAAAAAAAAAAAAAAAAAAAATGGCACCGCCAAAATTTATAACTTATGAGGAGGAATTGAAGAAAAATCCAGAATTAAAAGACAGTGATATTCAAATGTTAAGGGAATGGAATGATAAACAACCGCATTTACCAAAAATTCCTGATTTGGAACTAGCATTATTTTTACATAGCAATTATTATTTAATGGAACCAACAAAAACAACAATTGATTGTTATTATACAGTTAGAACTCATGTGCCGGAATTTTTTAGCAACAGAAATTTCAAACAGTCCAAGGAACTTCAAAAAACTTCAAATGTCGCGTGAGTCAAAATTTTTAATTTAATTTAATAAAAATAGTCATAATAATAATAATAATAAAAATAGTAATAATAATAATAAACATAATAAAAATAATAATTATAATAGCAAATTGTTATTATTATTATTATTTGATAATACAATAACGTATTAACAAAATATTTTATAATCATTGTATACAATTGTGTAATTTAATAAAAGTGCCACAACGCCATTGAAAGGAACAACAAATGAGGGTCACAAAATTATTTTTTGGAAATTAATTGACACAGACTCATCGCAATTTGTACATATTGATATTTTGAAATATTATTCAATGATATTTGATGTATGGTTACATTCGGAAGGTACAACAAGTGGACATGTTATTATAGCCGATATGGCTGGCTTATCATTAGGACATTGTGCACGATTAAGTCCTTTGACATCGAAAAAATTTATGGTCTATCTTCAGGATGCATTGCCAGTGCGTTTAAAAGGATTACATTTTATGAATTCTAATGCTGCAATGGATGTACTTTTACAAATGATAAAGCCCCTTATGAAAAAAGAACTAACTGATGTGGTATATGTCATTTTTATTTTAACCAATTTTTGATAATTTATATATTTTTTGAATTTTATTGATTTAGAAACAAAAAAACAGTCATATTGGGTACGCCATTAAAAATTTTTTGAAAACTAAGCTCAGATTCGTAATCAGCGACCCCAAAAACCCCCAAGTAACAAATGTAAGGTGCATTTAATCAAATTTTAAAAAATCTTCCGCCATATTGGATCCGCCATTTTTGATTTTTAAAAACTAAGCTCGGATTCGTAATCAGCGACCCTAAAAACCCCCAAGTAACAAATTTAAGGTGCATTTAATCAAATTTTAAAAATTATTCCGCCATATTGGATCCGCCATTTTTGATTTTTAAAAACTAAGCTCGGATTCATAATCAGCGACTCCAAAAACCCCCGAGTAACGATTTTCAAGCAAATTCGATGAGTTTTAAAAAAATTTGGCCGCCATATTATATCCGTCATTTTGAATTTTCAAAAACTAACTAAAGATTCATAATAATTAACGCTTGAATTAAAAATATTAATCTCTGAATTTAAAGAATAAAATAATTTTATCTTTTAGTTGCATGTTCACACCAATAGTACTACATTGGCAAAACACATTGACCTTGACATTCTACCCAATGAAGCAGGTGGAAAAGCAGGACCATTGAGTGAATTTCACGAATTAAGGAAAAAGGAACTCGAAGATTATAAGGATTGGTTTGAAAATGATGAAAAAACCGCACGTGTTCAAGAATCATTGCGTCCAGGAAAAGCAAAAAATGCCACTGATCTTTTTGGTGTTGAGGGCAGTTTCAAAAAACTCGATATAGATTAGATTTTATTATTTAAAAAAAAAAATTCAAATGTCGAATTAAAAGGAATTGCATGCCTAAAAGTAGGACGTACCTACTTTACTTGAAATGGGTGGGACCAATTTAAAAGAGGCGTGTCTAATATAAAAAGAGGGAGTGTCAAAAAGTGAAAAGTATACAAAATAATGTACCAATATTTTTTTGTCAATCACCAGTATTAGTAAGTAGTAGGTTTAACATAAATGTAAATATTAATAATCTGTTTTTAAATGTAAGAATGTATGAGGTAACATTGGTTGAATTATATATATTATTAATAATAATAGTAAATGACTCTAAAAGAGGCGTGTCTAGCCATGAACACTCCTACTAATAGGCGTGGTTAACAGTTAATACTTTCGTTAGAGGCGTAGCCTCTATTTTGGGGTGTGGCATAAATTTGTTAACACGCCCTTGAGTGTGGCTAAGAAAAAAGGGGCGTGTCTGAAGCTTTAATTATTATATTCCGCTGCACTACATTGGGGATAAATCAGCAACGGTAAAAAAAATTGTCACGCCCATGGGTGTGGCTTAGAAAAAGAGGCGTGTCTGATGCTCTAATTATTACATTATGCAAGGCTAGAGTGGGGCTAATTCAGCAACGGCAGAAAGTTGCCACGCCCATAGGTGTGGCTTAGAAAAGGGGGCGTGTCTGAAATTCTAATTATCTTAATACAACTGGATTTTTAATTAAAGTCTATTTAACAATAAAATAAAATTCCAATATCTAATTTAACTTTTATAAATATTAAATTATTTAATTAATATGTGTTCTAATATTTTACAAATTACCTAATCCTAAGTCCCACCTACTCTGTAACTGTATCTACATAATGGGCGTGTTTAAGGAAAAAAGGGCGTGTCCTTTAAAATACTGATTTTAAAGCACTTAACCAAAAATGCGAGTGTTATTAAAAACTGTATTACACGTTATATACCTTCAAGGTTACAGCCACTCTTGTAAGTTGTTTATGAAAAATGAAGACGATTGTATAATTCACCATTATCAAATAGCTATGTTATTAATAAAAATAAAAGTCACGATAATTTTATATCACGATATTTTCTCTAACTTTGTATATAGTGTAAATGGTACTTTGCGACAGTCTTCATTTGAATGTTTTACAGTACAGTAAACATTTCACTATTTACTATTTTTTGAATAATTTAAAACAAAGAAAGTTTAATATATCATTTTAGAGATTCAATATACATTTTAGAAAAAATATAATTAAAAAAAAACGGGAAATATTGAAAAAGTGCACAATAAAAGTTTAAAATTTTTTTTTAAATTCTGTGAATAGCAGTAATTTATTATAAAAAAAAAATTAATCATGGGTTTAAAGTATATTACTTATGAGGGAGAGTTGAAAAAAAATCCCGAACTAAAGGAATCAGATATTCAAATGTTACGCGAATGGTGTGAAAAGCAACCTCATTTACCAAAAGTCTCTGACACGGATTTAGTACTTTTTCTACATAGCAATTATTACAAGATGGAAGCAACAAAGACAAATATTGAAACTTATTTTACATTAAGGACACATTTACCGGAATTTTTTACAAACAGGGATTTAAAAAAATCACCGGAATTGTACACTGCACTGAATGTTGCGTATGTTTATTTTTTTTTAAATGTTTATAATATATATTAAATATTTTCAATACGACTTGACGCTTTACGGCGATTAATGTTGTCGATAATGAACACTAGGAGCGCTATCTACGCGTTACATGAATATTTCATTAATATTGAATTAGTGAAAACTTTCGATTAAAAAAAAGTGAATATTCAAACCTATTCTAATTATAGTTAAATTTTTGTTTAATTATTCTAATAATTTATTGGTAAAAAAAGTTGATAAATAATTTTTTAGTCAAATATTAAAGAACTAAAGTAAAAATTCGACTAATTCAGATTTGGAATTATGATTTGGTTTTTGAAAAAAAGAATTTTAATATGATTAATGGAATTTTTTTCTCGATTGGATCAAAAATATAGACATTAAATAATTTTCAATTGAGCCGCTGGATTCTAGAAGGGCACGTAAATTTTTTCTGCCGGAAAACGGAAGTCCCCTATGGACACTGAAAATTCATTTTTCGAATTTTAATATTTTTCGAGCATATTCTTATAAAGAATTCGATGGCGCATCTTTTATTCTTAATAAAAAATTTTCCATCTTTTTCCGTTTTCAAAATATATAAGAGAAAAACTGTTTTTTTTTTTAAAAGAAAATTTTTATTTACGTAAATAATTCGCCAAAATCGATTGTCAAATAACAACACCGAATTAAGGTTAGAGTGCTGCCATATAAGAAATCAGCTGACAGAGCCAGGGGCGTAGTTAGAAATTTTTGTTGTTGTATTTTTTTTACCACACAGTTGTTGTACTTTCTAGGGTTAATTATTTTAGGATTTTTTTTTAATTTCAATTTTTAAGAAGAAAATTTTTCCAATTACAGTTTTACTACACCTATAGAAGGAAAAACTAATGAAGGTTATGGTGTTTTGTATTGGAAAATAGTCGACTATGATGTCTCAAAATACGTTCATGTACACACGATGAAACTTCATGTTATGATGTTTGATTTATGGTTACAAACTTATGGAACAATGAAAGGTCATGTTTTAGTTGTTGATACAAAGGGAATTGGCGTTGGTCACGTGACTCGAACAAGTCCTATAATTTTTAAAAAATTTCTTTGCTATCTTCAAGATGCATTTCCAGTTCGTTTGAAGGCCATACACTTTCTTAATTCAATGACTGCCGTCGATATGTTATTTACAATGTGCAAGCCATTTATGAGAAAGGAATTGATAGAAATGGTTTAGTATTTTTATAAAAATTTAAAATTAGGATTAAAAAAAATTAAAAAATTAAATTTTTTTTTTAAATTTTTCCTTCATTTTTCTATTATTAGTAATTTAAATTTAAAAAAAATAATTTTCAGTTACATTTTCACACGACAATGGAGACATTTGAAAAAATTTTCCCATTGGAAATATTGCCAAACGAATCGGGTGGTAAAGCTGGTCCAGTAGAAGAATTTCGTCAGAAAAGTATTAAGGATTTGGAAGAATTTCGCGATTGGTTTGCACAGGATGAATTACATGGACGTGTGAATGAATCTTTACGTGTTGGAAAAGCAAAAAATGCTACTGATCTCTTTGGAGCTGAAGGTAGCTTTAAATCATTAGCAATTGATTGAGGAAATTAGAATAATATTAACCTTTAAACTGTTATCGCGGTCTCTCGAACCGTTATCGAAACATTTTTTCTTTATTTTTTTTTTTTTAATACAATAGAAACTTCAGTTTTATATATTAGGAAAAATTTTTAAATAATTTAAAATCACTAAAAAAATATCGGTCTGGCAGACCGGAAAAAGCACTAAACGTACATTTTTAGAACCTAGTAGGTTAAAAGTTAGTTTAGATAAATTATTATTTAAAAAAAATTTACATAATTTTATTTACATTTTATTATAATAATTGGCTGAATTGAAATAGGATAAAAATTAATTAATCATCAAATTTTTCAAAAAAATTTAAATTAAGATAATTAAATCCTTATTTTTCTCGTATTATTTAATTTCGTGCATCAATTTAATAATAGAGGTGTATTATAAAAAAGAAAAAAATAAAGTTGTGGAATATTTAAAATAAATGTCTTATTTTTCAGTTTTTATAACCTATCATCATATTTTCGTGTATATAACAATTATTTAAAAATGTGATGTTGAGATAAATAAAAGAAAAAATTGTTACATATTCTTGACAATCAGCTTTGTCATTAAAAATGATTATATACTCGATGAGGCACAAACAAGAGTTAATACAGTTGAAGTTTGCATGTAGTTCTTTAATAGAAGTCATAGCAAGAACACGAATCAACAATTTGTATTATATATTTTTTTTATATAAAACAGTATAGTGATTTTAAAAATAAAATTTCCTACAATGAACTAATAAAAAAATATTTTATGCAGAAACGATTACTAATAAAATTAATAATAAATAATAAAAGTAATACTAATACTAATAATAACAATAATAATAATAATAATAAAAATTAATAATAAATAAATATTTATTAACTACAAAATTTGTAAATACTAAAATAATAATAGATTTTCAATAAAAATAAAAAAATAAATAAAAGCGAAATAAAACAATTTAGTGAAAAATAATTAAAGTATAACTTCTTTATTAATTTGAATTATTATTGTACTTCGGAAAATTAAAAATTTTTAAATCATGACTTTTATAAAAATTATGACGGCGGAGGAGGAATTTAAAAAAAATCCAGAATTAAAGGAATCAGATCTCGAATTATTGAGAGAATGGTGCAAAAAACAACCACATTTGCCAAAAATTGCCGATATTGATTTAATACTGTTTTTGCATAGTAATTACTATTTATTAGAACCAACGAAAAAAACAATTGACAATTATTATACAATGAGAACACATGTACCGGAATTTTTCACAAACAGAGATTTTCATTATTGTGAATCACTTCGTAAGCAACTAGATATAGCGTAAGTTTATTTTTCATTTTTATATATTGTATAATAAATAAGGAACAAAAATTTGAATTTTTTTTTAATACTCTCTGTGTATTTTAACAAAAATAATTCTCAATTTAAAAAAAAAATTGATATCTTGTAGAAATGTTATTTTAATACATAATTATCAAAATGTGGAATTCTATACATTTTTTAAAAAATATTTCATTTTGAAAATGAAAAAAAAAATATTTTTCTATATCCATTAGAAATTCACATTTTAAGAGTTATAACAATATAATGCTAACTACCTCAATCATTGCAATCTTCTTATCACTATATGAATAATGGAAGTGTAATAAATTGATAAATTGTTTGAAATTGGTCGTTAAATTTTACCTCTTTTCAAGAGCGAAAACATTTTTTTTTTTTGGATTTATCATTTGGAAAAGTAAATTATATTTGAAACGTCTGTAATTATTTTCAAATACATAATTATATAACATTTATTTAATTAATTAATATTATATTAATTTTATTCCATTTTTGTCATTTTAGGGTATATATGCCACTAAAAGGATTATCTAAAAATGACTATAATATAATTTATTCAAGATTAATTGACTTTGAACCATCTCATTTTGTGCATTCTGAAACTGAAAAAGGTTACAATATGGTATTGGATATGTGGCTCCGAACAGAGGGTACAGTCAAGGGGCACGTGATTTTAATAGACATGCACGGGACACAATTGGGACACGTCAGTCGAATGAATCCTTCAGTGGCAAAAAAATCTCTACTTTATCTTCAAGATGCACTTCCAGTTCGACTTAAAGAAATACATGTCATGAATGCTTCGCCAATTTTTGATCTTATGCTAACAATTTGCAAGCCATTTATGAAAAAAGAACTTTTAGACATGGTAATGAGAATATTAAAAATTAAAATAAAATTCTATATAATTTTGGATCAAACGTATTTCATAAAAATTATCTTAAAAACTTAAAAAAGCAAAAACTATATTTTGATATACCTCAGAATCTGCTGCATCAATCAAAAAGTGCGCCTTACATTTTTTGTTCAAAACTTTTTCCTTATTTTTCTGGTGGTATTGCGAAGCCGTTATCTCTCGAATTTAATTTTTCAAAAATTTTTCCAAAATGTTTTTTACTGCAGCTCAGCATCCGCTGGACCAATCAAAAAGTACGCCATACATTTTTTGTTCAGAACTTTCTTCTAACTACTTTGCCGGTATTCCCGAACGATTATCTCGCGAATTTATTTTTTTGAAAATTTTTCCAAAATTATTTTGAGTGTAGCTCAGCATCCGCTGGACCAATCAAAAAGTGCGCCATACATTTTTTGTTCGAAACTTTTTCCCTATTTTTCTAGTGGTATTCCGGAGCGGTTATCTCGAAAATTTAATTTTTCAAAAATTTTTCCAAAATGTTTTTTACTGCAGCTCAGCATCCGCTGGACCAATCAAAAAGTGCACCATACATTTTTTGTTCAGAACTTTTTGACTATTTTATTGGTGGTATTCCGGAGTGGTTATCTCGAAAATTTAATTTTTCAAAAATTTTTCATAAATTTATTTGAGTATAGCTCAGCATCCGCTGGAACAATCTAAAAGTGCGCTATACATTTTTTGTTCAGAACTTTCTTCTAACTACTTTGCCGGTATTGCCGAACGATTATCTCGCGAATTTATTTTTTTGAAAATTTTTCCAAAATTATTTTGAGTGTAGCTCAGCATCCGCTGGACCAATCAAAAAGTGCACCATACATTTTTTGTTCGAAACTTTTTCCCTATTTTTCTGGTGGTATTCCGGAGCGGTTATCAAGAAAATTTAATTTTTCAAAATTTTTTCCAAAATTATTTTGAGTGTAGCTCAGCATCCGCTGGACCAATCAAAAAGTGCGCCATACATTTTTTGTTCAAAACTTTTTCCCTATTTTATTGGCGGTATTCCGGAACGATTATCTCGCAAATTTAATTTTTCTAAATGTTTTCCAAATTTATTTTCTAGTGTAGCTCAGCATCCGCTGGACCAATCAAAAAGTGCGCCACACATTTTTTGTTCAGAACTTTCTTCTAATTACTTTGCCGGTATTCCCGAACGATTATCTCGCGAATTTATTTTTTTGAAAATTTTTCCAAAATTATTTTGAGTGTAGCTCAGCATCCGCTGGACCAATCTAAAAGTGCGCCATACATTTTTTGTTCAGAACTTTCTTCTAACTACTTTGCCGGTATTCCCGAACGATTATCTCGCGAATTTATTTTTTTGAAAATTTTTCCAAAATTATTTTGAGTGTAGCTCAGCATCCGCTAGACCAATCAAAAAGTGCGCCATACATTTTTTGTTCGAAACATTTTCCCTATTTTATTGGCGGTATTCCGGAACGATTATCTCGCAAATTTAATTTTTCTAAATGTTTTCAAAATTTATTTTCTAGTGTAGCTCAGCATCCGCTGGACCAATCAAAAAGTGCGCCACACATTTTTTGTTCAGAACTTTCTTCTAATTACTTTGCCTGTATTCCCGAACGATTATCTCGCGAATTTATTTTTTTGAAAATTTTTCCAAAATTATTTTGAGTGTAGCTCAGCATCCGCTGGACCAATCTAAAAGTGCGCCATACATTTTTTGTTCAAAACTTTCTTCTAACTACTTTGCCGGTATTCCCGAACGATTATCTCGCGAATTTATTTTTTTGAAAATTTTTCCAAAATTATTTTGAGTGTAGCTCAGCATCCGCTGGACCAATCTAAAAGTGCGCCATACATTTTTTGTTCAGAACTTTCTTCTAACTACTTTGCCGGTATTCCCGAACGATTATCTCGAAAATTTAATTTTTCAAAATTATTTTGAGTGTAGCTCAGCATCCGCTGGACCAATCTAAAAGTGCGCCATACATTTTTTGTTCAGAACTTTCTTCTAACTACTTTGCCGGTATTCCCGAACGATTATCTCGCGAATTTATTTTTTTGAAAATTTTTCCAAAATTATTTTGAGTGTAGCTCAGCATCCGCTAGACCAATCAAAAAGTGCGCCATACATTTTTTGTTCGAAACATTTTCCCTATTTTATTGGCGGTATTCCGGAACGATTATCTCGCAAATTTAATTTTTCTAAATGTTTTCAAAATTTATTTTCTAGTGTAGCTCAGCATCCGCTGGACCAATCAAAAAGTGCGCCACACATTTTTTGTTCAGAACTTTCTTCTAATTACTTTGCCTGTATTCCCGAACGATTATCTCGCGAATTTATTTTTTTGAAAATTTTTCCAAAATTATTTTGAGTGTAGCTCAGCATCCGCTGGACCAATCTAAAAGTGCGCCATACATTTTTTGTTCAAAACTTTCTTCTAACTACTTTGCCGGTATTCCCGAACGATTATCTCGCGAATTTATTTTTTTGAAAATTTTTCTAAAATTATTTTGAGTGTAGCTCAGCATCCGCTGGACCAATCAAAAAGTGCACCATACATTTTTTGTTCAGAACTTTCTTCTAATTACTTTGCCGGTATTCCCGAACGATTATCTCGCGAATTTATTTTTTTGAAAATTTTTCCAAAATTATTTTGAGTGTAGCTCAGCATCCGCTGGACCAATCTAAAAGTGCGCCATACATTTTTTGTTCAGAACTTTCTTCTAACTACTTTGCCGGTATTCCCGAACGATTATCTCGAAAATTTAATTTTTCAAAATTATTTTGAGTGTAGCTCAGCATCCGCTGGACCAATCTAAAAGTGCGCCATACATTTTTTGTTCAGAACTTTCTTCTAACTACTTTGCCGGTATTCCCGAACGATTATCTCGCGAATTTATTTTTTTGAAAATTTTTCCAAAATTATTTTGAGTGTAGCTCAGCATCCGCTGGACCAATCTAAAAGTGCGCTATACATTTTTTGTTCAGAACTTTCTTCTAACTACTTTGCCGGTATTCCCGAACGATTATCTCGCGAATTTATTTTTTTGAAAATTTTTCCAAAATTATTTTGAGTGTAGCTCAGCATCCGCTGGACCAATCAAAAAGTGCACCATACATTTTTTGTTCGAAACTTTTTCCCTATTTTATTGGCGGTATTCCGGAACGATTATCTCGCAAATTTAATTTTTCTAAATGTTTTCCAAATTTATTTTCTAGTGTAGCTCAGCATCCGCTGGACCAATCAAAAAGTGCGCCACACATTTTTTGTTCAGAACTTTCTTCTAATTACTTTGCCGGTATTCCCGAACGATTATCTCGCGAATTTATTTTTTTGAAAATTTTTCCAAAATTATTTTGAGTGTAGCTCAGCATCCGCTGGACCAATCTAAAAGTGCGCCATACATTTTTTGTTCAAAACTTTCTTCTAACTACTTTGCCGGTATTCCCGAACGATTATCTCGCGAATTTATTTTTTTGAAAATTTTTCCAAAATTATTTTGAGTGTAGCTCAGCATCCGCTGGACCAATCAAAAAGTGCACCATACATTTTTTGTTCAGAACTTTCTTCTAATTACTTTGCCGGTATTCCCGAACGATTATCTCGCGAATTTATTTTTTTGAAAATTTTTCCAAAATTATTTTGAGTGTAGCTCAGCATCCGCTGGACCAATCTAAAAGTGCGCCATACATTTTTTGTTCAGAACTTTCTTCTAACTACTTTGCCGGTATTCCCGAACGATTATCTCGAAAATTTAATTTTTCTAAATTATTTTGAGTGTAGCTCAGCATCCGCTGGACCAATCTAAAAGTGCGCCATACATTTTTTGTTCAGAACTTTCTTCTAACTACTTTGCCGGTATTCCCGAACGATTATCTCGCGAATTTATTTTTTTGAAAATTTTTCCAAAATTATTTTGAGTGTAGCTCAGCATCCGCTGGACCAATCTAAAAGTGCGCTATACATTTTTTGTTCAGAACTTTCTTCTAACTACTTTGCCGGTATTCCCGAACGATTATCTCGCGAATTTATTTTTTTGAAAATTTTTCCAAAATTATTTTGAGTGTAGCTCAGCATCCGCTGGACCAATCAAAAAGTGCACCATACATTTTTTGTTCGAAACTTTTTCCCTATTTTATTGGCGGTATTCCGGAACGATTATCTCGCAAATTTAATTTTTCTAAATGTTTTCCAAATTTATTTTCTAGTGTAGCTCAGCATCCGCTGGACCAATCAAAAAGTGCGCCACACATTTTTTGTTCAGAACTTTCTTCTAATTACTTTGCCGGTATTCCCGAACGATTATCTCGCGAATTTATTTTTTTGAAAATTTTTCCAAAATTATTTTGAGTGTAGCTCAGCATCCGCTGAACCAATCTAAAAGTGCGCCATACATTTTTTGTTCAAAACTTTCTTCTAACTACTTTGCCGGTATTCCCGAACGATTATCTCGCGAATTTATTTTTTTGAAAATTTTTCCAAAATTATTTTGAGTGTAGCTCAGCATCCGCTGGACCAATCAAAAAGTGCACCATACATTTTTTGTTCGAAACTTTTTCCCTATTTTATTGGCGGTATTCCGGAACGATTATCTCGCAAATTTAATTTTTCTAAATGTTTTCCAAATTTATTTTCTAGTGTAGCTCAGCATCCGCTGGACCAATCAAAAAGTGCGCCACACATTTTTTGTTCAGAACTTTCTTCTAATTACTTTGCCGGTATTCCCGAACGATTATCTCGCGAATTTATTTTTTTGAAAATTTTTCCAAAATTATTTTGAGTGTAGCTCAGCATCCGCTGGACCAATCTAAAAGTGCGCCATACATTTTTTGTTCAGAACTTTCTTCTAACTACTTTGCCGGTATTCCCGAACGATTATCTCGAAAATTTAATTTTTCAAAATTATTTTGAGTGTAGCTCAGCATCCGCTGGACCAATCTAAAAGTGCGCCATACATTTTTTGTTCAGAACTTTCTTCTAACTACTTTGCCGGTATTCCCGAACGATTATCTCGCGAATTTATTTTTTTGAAAATTTTTCCAAAATTATTTTGAGTGTAGCTCAGCATCCGCTGGACCAATCTAAAAGTGCGCTATACATTTTTTGTTCAGAACTTTCTTCTAACTACTTTGCCGGTATTCCCGAACGATTATCTCGCGAATTTATTTTTTTGAAAATTTTTCCAAAATTATTTTGAGTGTAGCTCAGCATCCGCTGGACCAATCAAAAAGTGCACCATACATTTTTTGTTAGAAACTTTTTCCCTATTTTATTGGCGGTATTCCGGAACGATTATCTCGCAAATTTAATTTTTCTAAATGTTTTCCAAATTTATTTTCTAGTGTAGCTCAGCATCCGCTGGACCAATCAAAAAGTGCGCCACACATTTTTTGTTCAGAACTTTCTTCTAATTACTTTGCCGGTATTCCCGAACGATTATCTCGCGAATTTATTTTTTTGAAAATTTTTCCAAAATTATTTTGAGTGTAGCTCAGCATCCGCTGGACCAATCTAAAAGTGCGCCATACATTTTTTGTTCAAAACTTTCTTCTAACTACTTTGCCGGTATTCCCGAACGATTATCTCGCGAATTTATTTTTTTGAAAATTTTTCCAAAATTATTTTGAGTGTAGCTCAGCATCCGCTGGACCAATCAAAAAGTGCACCATACATTTTTTGTTCGAAACTTTTTCCCTATTTTATTGGCGGTATTCCGGAACGATTATCTCGCAAATTTAATTTTTCTAAATGTTTTCCAAATTTATTTTCTAGTGTAGCTCAGCATCCGCTGGACCAATCAAAAAGTGCGCCACACATTTTTTGTTCAGAACTTTCTTCTAATTACTTTGCCGGTATTCCCGAACGATTATCTCGCGAATTTATTTTTTTGAAAATTTTTCCAAAATTATTTTGAGTGTAGCTCAGCATCCGCTGGACCAATCTAAAAGTGCGCCATACATTTTTTGTTCAGAACTTTCTTCTAACTACTTTGCCGGTATTCCCGAACGATTATCTCGCGAATTTATTTTTTTGAAAATTTTTCCAAAATTATTTTGAGTGTAGCTCAGCATCCGCTGGACTAATCAAAAAGTGCGCTATATATTTTTGGATCGATACTTTTTGATCTGGTTAACGCTTTATTGGTATTCTGGAAAATGTTTGGATTGTAGTTTATGTCGAGAATATAAAAAAATGTTAAAAAAAATTTTAATCTCGAATTTTTTTTTCAGTTACATATTCACACTACAAAAGAAAGTTTAGAAAATTTTATTCCTTTGGAAATACTGCCAAATGAAGCTGGTGGAAAAGCGGGACCACTATCAAAATTTTATGAGGAACGTATGAAACTTTTGACAGAATTTCGTGATTGGTTTACGGTTGACGAGGCGAATGGACGTGTCAACGAAAATCTTCGTCCGGGAAAGTCAAAAAATGCTGGAGAAATTTTTGGCGTCGAAGGCAGTTTCAAAAAACTAGATATTGACTAAAAAAAAAAGTTAAATATTATACAAATTTTTACGTGCATATATTTCTTTTGACATTTTTTATTATTTTTTTATTTATTTAATAAAAGAATATTTCCCACGATTAATAAGTCATCGAATAGTGACAAATACATAGTTATTGATATTATCTAAGTTGTAATAATATTTAAATAAACTGAATATTAATAATTGTTAAATAATAATTTATAAAAAATTAACTTTTAATTATTTCAATTAAATAGAATTTTTTTCATCACACTATTATATTACAATTACTAAATATCTCACATTATTATATTTAATATTTTTGTAAAATTAATTTTTAAATATTACTAATTTCACACAATATTTTAATTATTTTCATTTTTTCTATTTCATGAAATAATGCAGCGCAGTTTGTTGCATGGATTTTAAAAAGGTTAAAAATATATCCCACATGATTGTGAATTTAGCGTTTATTAATAAATCCTTGGAATAAAACTTGTTTTTCTTACATAATTTAGTGCATGAATTTATAATAACAGGTGTATTATGACAAAGAAAAATATTAAATTGTCAAATGTTAGAAATGATTTCTCTTGATAGTTATATTTATTCATTAAATAATAATTATCTAAAACGTGATGTTGAGATTTAAAAAAAAAAAGATTGTTACATATCCTTGATAATCAGCTTTGTCATTATAGAATGATGACATCACACTACTGCATGTGGCATAAAGTAATTGAAGTTGCGCTTAGTTCCTTATTAGTCACCATAGGAAGAACACGAATCATCTCGTTGGGATATTTTTTAATTCAAACAGTGTTAATAAAATTTTTTAAATAAACAAAATAAAATTCATTTACAAATATTAATATTGAAAAATTAGATTCTTTAACAAATTACTAATAATAATAATAATAATAATAATTAATTAAAAATAAAAAAAATTGGTGAAAAAAAGTAGTTGATGTTTAATAATTTCAATAACTAATGTTACTCTGAAATTGAAAACAAAAATTTGGAATCATGAGTTCAATAAAGATGATCACAGTGGAAGAGGAATTTAAGAAAAATCCCGAATTAAAGGAATCGGATCTTCAGGCATTGAGAGAATGGTGTAAAAAGCAACCTCACTTACCAAAAGTATCTGATATTGATTTAATATTATTTCTACATAGTAATTATTATTCCATTGAACCAACAAAAAAAACAATTGACAATTTTTATACAATGAGAACACATATGCCTGAAATTTTTACAAACAGAGACTTAGAAAATTGTCCAACTCTTCAAAAGCAACTCGACCTAGCGTAAGTTCTTTTATTTATAATAAATAATAATTTTTATTATTAAAATTATTATTATTTTTTATTAAAATCGTTTTTTTCAAATTGGTGGCTGTTTCAAAGTATATGTATAATAAAATTATTTAAAATATTATTTTAATTTTCTAGTGTTTTTATTTTGAGGTTATGTCTGACATTCAATGCTCCCAGATAGCACGGAAACTTGCAGCAAGCTTGCGGCAAGTTCACCGTGCAAGCTTGCTGCAAGCTTGTCTGAGCTAGCGAAATGTCCCACCCAGGGCAAGCTTGCCGTAAGCTTTCCAGTAAAGGTTGCTGCAATCTTGCCTTGAAATATTTCTACAAGATTGCTGCAAGAATACTAAGAATGATTGCGGCAAGCTTGCCGTGAAAGATTGCTGTAAGCTTGCTACGTAAGGTTGCAGGAGAATTTCAACAAGCTTCTGGAAAGGTTGCTGCAAGGTTGCTGCAATTTTTAAAAAATACATTTTAAATTAAAAAAAAATTTATTTGTTTTTTTTAAATTTGAAAATCCTTGTGACGTTTATTATTATTAATTATGTCCTGTTTATTTTCATTTGGAAACTTAAGGAGAAAATTTTCGAAACAAATTTCAGGGGACTGGGAATTGAACCCGGGTTCGACAGACACTAACCAAAGACCCTAACCGAGAAAAAATTTTTTTTTTTAAATTTAGAATGTATTTTTTAAAAATTGCAGCAACCTTTCCAGAAGCTTGTTGAAATTCTCCTGCAACCTTACGTAGCAAGCTTACAGCAATCTTTCACGGCAAGCTTGCCGCAATCATTCTTAGTATTCTTGCAGCAATCTTGTAGAAATCTTTCATGGCAAGATTGCAGCAACCTTTCCTGGAAAGCTTACAGCAAGCTTGCCCTGGGTGGGACATTTCGCTAGCTCAGACAAGCTTGCAGCAAGCTTGCACGGTGAACTTGCCGCAAGCTTGCTGCAAGTTTCCGTGCTATCTGGGCTCTAATGTACTTAATTTTAATAATTGTCATAACAGGGTATATATGCCATTAAAAGGATTGTCAAAAAATGGGTACAATATAATTTATTCAAGAATCATTGACTTTGATCCATCACATTTTGTGCACAGTGAATCTGTAAAAGGATTCAATATGGTAATGGATTTATGGTTTCGTACAGAGGGCACTGTTAAAGGTCACGCAATGCTAATGGATATGCATGGAACACAATTGGGACATGTCAGTCGAATGAATCCTTCTATTGCAAAAAAGGCCATGTTTTATCTTCAAGATGGACTTCCAGTTCGACTCAAAGAAATGCATGTTATGAATGTTTCGCCAATTTTTGATCTCATGATGGCAATTTGTAAGCCATTTATGAAAAAGGAACTTTTAGACATGGTAAGAATCGAAATATTTGTATTCTCATAAAATATTATATTATTATTATTATTATTATTATTATTATTATTATTATCTACCTATTTTACAAAAAGATATCGCCGCCGCCGCTGTTTCAAGACTCTGAATATAGCCGCAAGTACCCCCTCCCTCCCTTCTCCTTTCCCGCCAAAACTAACCTAAATTCTGAGGTTATGTTTGTTTCAAGACTCTGAATATAGCCGCAATTCCTCTGCCCATTTGTTGAAGGGAGAGGGTGTAATTCCTGCCAAAAATGACCTGAATGTAGAGGTTATGTTCGTTTCAAGACTCTAAATATAGTCGCATGCCCCCCCCCCCCCTACTTTACGTTAAGAGGGAAGTGAATTTTCCGCCAAAAATGATCTAAATTTTGAGGTTACGTTATTTTGTCGGGAAACGACCAAGAAGTAAAAATAACCTCAAAATTTATGTCAAAATTTGTCGAAAAACGACCAAGAAACAAACTTAACCTCAAAATTTATGTCAAACTTTGAAGGAAAATGACCAAAAAACGAACATAACCTTAAATGTAGGCCCCCCTAGTAAAATACTATTATGTCCAAAATATTCACCGACAGTATTATATATTTTGATAATGAACCAAACTGTACTTTGATTCATATCGGTAATTCAGGAATCTGTTTAAAAATTTTTTTTGTTAAATTAAAAAACAAAAATTCGAGGCATTTAGCTTGGCTATTAAGTAAAAGAAAGAAGATGAAATTAAGTTTTTAAAATATTTAAAACTTACGAGATATAGAGTGGAATTGCTTTCTAAATTTTAGAATTTTCTAAATTTGTAAATTGTACAGTGGGGTTAAAAAAATATCTGTGGAAAAATTAACATACATAGTAGAGAGATTTTAGCCGATTTAGATATATTTTTTTATCTTCAAGATAATAAAATAATTATAAATATAATATATAATTTATAAATAATGAAATAATAAAATTATTTAAAAAATTTATTTTTTTTTTAATATAAAGTTATTTATTTCATTAAAAAATTGAATTAATGAATAATAAAAAAAAAAATTTCAGTTACATCTTCACTCAACAAAGGAAAGTTTAGAGAAATTTATTCCATTGGAAATATTGCCAAATGAAGCTGGTGGAAAAGCGGGACCACTGTCAAAATTTTATGACGATCGAAAGAAACTGTTAACGGAATTTCACGATTGGTTTGTTGAAGATGAAAAAAATGGACGTGTCAATGAAAAGCTTCGTCCCGGCAAGTCAAAAAATGCTAATGAAATTTTTGGCGTTGATGGAAATTTCAAAAAACTTGATTTTGACTAAAAAAAAAAAACAAAAATTGTACAAATTTAACAATAAATTTTTTTATTAATAATATTTTTTTTCCACACTTTTTTTGAATTAGAATATTATTATTTTCATATTATTACTTTTTCTATATATTTTTATTTATAATTAATGTCTAAAAATGTTTAAAAAAAATTAACATTTTTATAAATTATTTACAAACATTAGTGAATAATTTATTTTTTATTATAAAAAAAAAATTGTAAATAATTTAGTAATTTAGTTATTTTTTTTTATTTTTTCTAAATTTTAAATGTATAAGAGATTAAAATTTTCGTAATTATTTCCAAGAATAACGGGCGAATAATTTTTAAAATTTTTTAATGTTTAAAAAAAAGTTTTTCACCGCAATAATTTTTCTTTTTTTGTAAAATATGTTATTTTTTATGATTTGACAATTTAATTTTTAAAATTTTGCATTTTTTAATAAATTTTCCCAAATTGTTTTTAAATTATTAATAATTAAAATATTCAATGAAAAATGCTTATATTTTTCTAATTCCATAACAATAGCATTGTTTCTTTTCTTATACTTTTATGTAATAAAAAATTATTATGCAACGAGCATCGTTTACGTATTGTCACAGTATAACATTAACTCAACAATTTATCTCAATGTAAAAAACTTAGCATATTGGTTTGTCATTTTTTTTTTTTTTAAATTGAATAAAAATGACTTTCCTTTATTATATTGTTCGTAAAAAAATTTTTTTGCTAAAAACAAGATTTGAATAAATCTGCAAAACTTTTTAAAAATAAATTGAAAATTAATTTATAAATTGAAACTAGGCAAACAGGTTTTTCGTTGCAAGTTTCGAAGGTTAAAAAATAAAAGTTTTTTTTTTAATGATTGAAAACCTTGAGTTTTTGTAAATGTTAAAAATAAATGACTAGTTTGCATTTTTTTTAAGTTCATTTATAGGTATTTTAGAAATTTTTATGATTCAGCAACTTTAATAATGAATAAATATATTATATCATTTTTTATTATATTAATTACATTAATTTAATTAGGTACATTAATTATATTAAATTGAAAATTATATAATAATTATATTCAAATTGAATTAAATTGAAAATAAAATATTTAATTTGATAAAATAAAAATTTAATTAAATTAAAATTAAGAAAATAATATTTTAATCTTTCAGAAATCAATTTTTAACATTTATAATTTAACAATGGCTTTTCCAATATTTTCTCCCCGCAATAAACTGACAAAAGCATTGACTGTATTTTCAAAACCTTCGTAAATTGTTTCGCGATATTTGAGTTTTTTTTCACGAATCCACATTAAATTTTGCTCAAAACTTTCTCCATATCTATGTTTCCATCTTGGTAGCATGAAACCCTCCATTTTTAATTGTTTTGTCAGAAATAATACCTGAAAAAATTTTGTCGATCTTTTTTGATTTAAAGTATCATCACTGTAACTTGAAATACTTCCACAAATTGAAATTCGTCCAAATTCTTTCATTTGATTAATTACAGCATCAGAAATATTGCCACCAACCTAATAAACAAAATTTCTATTTTAATATAAAATCAAAAAAAATTTGAATTTAATTTCTTTAGAAAATATTTAATTTATAATTATTTTTTTTTATTAATGATAATTTTCGCACATTATCAAAATAACAGTCAACACCATTGGGTGCAATTTTTTTCAGTGCTAAAGACACATTTTCAGTTTTATAATTAATTGTATGATCAATTCCCAAATCATTAGTAAGCCAATGACATTTTTCATCAGTTCCAGTTATACCAATAACATTGAGACCTTTAATTTTTCCAATTTGTGCAACATGCGATCCAATTGCTCCACCAGCTCCACTTACAACTAGTGTCTCACCTGCTTTAGGTTGGCAAATTTCTAAAAATCCAAAATACGCAGTGTCTCTAAAAAAAAGAATATTAATTTAAATCAGCAAAATATTGATTTTTTGAAAATTTTCAGTGATAATATTATAAACAAAAGTGGAAAACTAGGCAGAGCCCTGTTTGAGCCATGACTAGTTTTTGATCTTACAAGATTTACCTTAAATTTTATATATTGACTGAATTAGTTTTTTTTTTCAAAATAATGGAGTCATTTAATTGGAAAATAGAAAACTATTTACAGCCCTGTTTGAGCCATGATTAGTTTTTCATCTCACAAGGTTTACCTTAAATTTTCTATACTGATTGAATTAGTTTTTTTTTATCAAGACAAAAAGGAGCCATTTAATTCGAAAATAGAAAACTATTTACAGCCCCGATAAAACCCTAATTCAGATAAATTAAAAAAATTCGGCCGTTTTCGAATGATTTAACTTTAGTAAGTTAATATTTACATATAACTACACTTTGCTCTATTTATTTCTTTAATAAAAAAATAAAACTAGACAGCGCCATGTTTTAGCCCTAATAGAAGACAATCCTACTCTTTTTCCACCGGATTTCGAGTATTTCATCTCAGTTTACTATATTTTTAAGTACTGCGAATTCACTTATTCCAAATTTGTAAAACTACTCAGCGCCCTATTTAATGTTTAGAAAGCGAAAATCATAAATTTAGATTGACATATATTTTTACAAATTTACATTTCGAGTAGGTTTATTATTAAATTTTGTCAAATTAGATTTTTTCCCCGAATTTAGTTCAAAAAACTAGGCAGAGACCTATTTAAACAAATTACGTTGCAAAAATTTTATCTTAAACCAATTTGTTAGATTTCTGTTACATTTTCCAGTGTAATTCGTTTAATAATTATTTAAACTTTGTGAAACTAGACAGAGCCCTGATTAAGCCCTAATTGAGACAAATTTTAATATTTTGTCCCACTTATCGAGTGATTCAACAATTCTCAATTTACTATATAGAAGAACAGAAAGTACTGAAAATTCAAAATTTGTAAAACTATTCAGCGCCACATTTAAGCCCTGTTAGACAAAGATCACATTCAAATTAGAGAAAAATTATAATTAAAATTTAATTTTTCTTTTGACTAAAGAAGAATTTTTATTAACCCTTTCGTTCCCATGGGACATATATGTCCCACCTACAAAAACCTCAATAACTCTGAACAAAATTAATATTTCTAAGTCTGCTTTGAGGCATTTTCTTCAGGAGGAATAGTGCTTTCAAAATTTCTAGACTAGATGATGTCTAAAAATTTCTATTCTTTAAAAAAATATATAAACAAATATTAAAAATGACCAATTTTTAAAATCGTTCAGATTCGCTTGAAATTTGTTACTCGGGGGTTTTCGGGGTCGTTGATTACGAATCCAATGTTAGTTTTTCAAAATTCAAAATGGCGGATCCAATATGGCGGACGACTTTTGGAAAATCTAATGCAATTCGCTTGAAACTCGTTACTCGGGGGTTTTTGGAGTCGCTGATTACGAATCCGGTGTTAGTTTTCAAAAATTCAAAATGTCCGATCCAATATGGCGGACAAATTTTTGAAATTGTTAGATTCGCCAGAAATTTGTTACTCTGAGGTTTTCGGGTCGCTGATTACGAATCTGAAGGCAGATTTTTAAAATTTTCATAATTCAAAATGGCGGATTCAACATGGCGAATCTAACAATTTCAAAAATTTGTCCGACATATTGGATCCGCCATTTTGAATTTTTGAAAACTAACACCGGATTCGTAATCAGCGATCCCGAAAACCCCCGAGTAACCAGTTGGAAGCGAATTGCATTAGATTTTCCAAAAGTCGTCCGCCATATTGGATCCGCCATTTTGAATTTTTGAAAACTAACACCGGATTCGTAATCAGCGATCCCGAAAACCCCCGAGTAACCAGTTGGAAGCGAATTGCATTAGATTTTCCAAAAGTCGTCCGCCATATTATATCCGCCATTTTGAATTTTTGAAAACTAACACCGGATTCGTAATCAGCGACCCCGAAAACCCCCGAGTAACCAGTTGGAAGCGAATTGCATTAGATTTTCCAAAAGTCGTCCGCCATATTATATCCGCCATTTTGAATTTTTGAAAACTAACACCGGATTCGTAATCAGCGACCCCGAAAACCCCCGAGTAACCAGTTGGAAGCGAATTGCATTAGATTTTCCAAAAGTCGTCCGCCATATTGGATCCGCCATTTTGAATTTTTAAAAACTAACACCGGATTCGTCATCAGCGACCCCGAAAACCCCCGAGTAGCCATTTTCGAGCGGATTTAATCACTTTTAAAAAAATTGTCCGCCATGTTGTATCCGCCATTTTGAATTTTAAAAATTTGAAAAATCTGACCTCAAATTCGTCATCAGCGACCCGAAAAACTGTAAGAACAATTTCACTTATCTTTTTTAAAGTTTTCAGATTATCTTGGGAACAAAAGGGTTAATCAACTTTGGAAATCTAGAAACACACTATAATTAGGATTTTTTAATTTTTTCTGAATATTTCTCTTACCCGGGCATGCCAAGAACTCCGAGATAAAGAGAAGAAGGTAAATCGTCAAATGAAGGTAATACTCTCGGTACCTCATTTAAAAATCCAGAATGATCCCATTTTGTGGGATTGATAATTGTATGAGTTCTCCAACCATAATAGCCTTTAACTCTTTTACCAACAGGAAATTGTGGATCTTTTGATTCAATTATCTTAGCCACCTGATTTGCATGAAAAACAGCGCCAATATTTGACCTATTAATTGTCGGCGATCGCATATATGGATCAACTGAAAAAAATTCTGCCTCAACAAGAACTTCTGCAAAACAAGTCATAATAATAAAAAAAAAAATTCAAAAAATATAAAAAATTTGTAATTAAAAATATTGGTAAATAATATTTTAAAAAAAATGAATTCTAAATATAATTAATTTGAAAAAAAAATTTAATTTTTCGTTAATGCTTTATTTTAAAATAAATACTTCATTTCAATACTATATATGTTACATACCACCATTTTTAAGAGGAGGTAATTTTTCTTCTACAATTTGAAAATCAGTTACTCTTGGTTCCCCTTGAAAATTATTAATTAAAACATATTTTTTAGCAATAACCATTGCAATTTTTTTATTGACGTTCTTTAGAAACATTAAATTCAACTGTTGTAAATAGATAATTACCTTTTTTTCGAAAATTAAGATTTATATATTTAGCTAAAATGTAGATAAAAAAAATGTTGACAATGATTTTACGAAAAATTATACTTTAAAAATATTATCAGTCTCTAAAACTTTGCAGATTTTAAATTTAAAAAAACGATAATTAATATTTTTAGTGCTTGGTCGTTAATAAATTATTATTATTATTATTATTTTATAAAGAAATAATTTTTAAAGCGTAAAAATAATTTCAATGTAAAAAAAAATTTCAAGTTATACTTTGTTTTTAGTAACATTGTTAAAATTGAAACAGCTGTTAATAAAATGCGTCATAAAAAATAGTTTATAATATTTACATAGTGTAAATATTTAAAATATGTACTTTCGTTAGACAAATTAAATTTATTTTAAAATTAAAACATTTGATTAAAAAAAAATATATTCTTTCTATTTTATTGAACAATTTTTTTTTAAATATAATTGTTTTTAGTTTTGTCCCTTTTTATTTTTTTGTTCCATTTTTAAAAAATATGAGTGTCGCATTTTAGACGTTCCACTGTAGTTTCACATTTATTTACTCATTTATCGTCAGTTGGTAATAAAGATCATGAGTTTACCAACGAACGGTTTTATAATTATCTATAGTCGATAATGCAGTTTTTTTTGTTCTGGTAATATAGACTTCAATAATAGATATAGTTACCGCCAGTCGGTAATGAAGATTTTTTTAGTGCCATTATACTATCAGTCGGTAATATAGATTTGCAATAACGTGAAAAATAGTTTATCTTTAACTCATTTACTAATTTTCATAAATATTTATAAATTTGAAATAAAAAAAAAATTCCTATGATTAATCGTGAAAATATTTTATCAATGTAGTGAGTAAATGACGAAAACAGTGAATACGTGACGAAAATTGTTTAACAAATATTTTTTTTTATTTGATCAAATGCTTTCAAATTTGAGACATTAGAAAAGAATTATTATATTATATTAACAAGGGAATATTTTATGTATATATTATTTACTTTTCTATAATTGATTATAAGTATATATATACTGGTAGAATTCTACAATTTTATCATATTCAATTTGCGTTTATTTTTTCCGTACCAAATAAATTGTTTAAAATGAAAATTTTCATTTTCTGTTTTTTATTATATTTATTCGTGTCAATTGATGCATTTGTTAAAGGCGGTAGACCTTACAGTAGACAGAATTATAATAAAAAAATTCGTGACCCAACTGTTTACACATTATCCGCAATTAAAAGTAAGTTTTAAAATTTATCTACAAAGAATAAATTTTTTAATTTTTAAATATATTTTATAAAAATTATCATTAAAATTTTCAAATTACAGAATTTAAAATTTTATTGAAAATTAATTGTAAAATTGTGAAAAAAATTAATAAATTGCATTTTTTGAGGTTAGAATACATATTGTAATATTAGTTTCTTAGGTTTCTTACATGTGTTTCTTTTATTATTATTTATTTATGCTTATTGTAAGGCTAATAATCCCAGATATCACGTAAGCTTGCAGCTACATTGCGGCAAGCTTCGAATGTCCCACCTGACCCAAGCTTGCATGGTAAGCTTACCGAAAGATTGCAGTGTAAGATAAATGCAAGATTGCGGTGTAAGGTTACTGCAAGATTGCACAATAAGCTTGCACGGTAAGCTTGTAGCAAGGTTGGTGCAAGGTTGCCAAATAACCTTACTTTGAACATAAAAACATTTTTTTTTAATTTTTCGTCTAATTTATATATATTTTTATTATATAAATTTTACTATATAAATTAAACGAAACATTTTTTTTAATTTTATAGTTTCAATGTAAGGTTATTTGTCAATCTTGCACCAATCTTGCTACAAGCTTACCGTGCAAGCTTACTGAGCAATCTTGCGATAATCTTATTGTGCAATCTTGCAGTAACTTTACACCGCAATCTTGCAGAAATCTTACACTGCAATATTTCGGTAAGCTTACCATGCAAGCTTGGATTAGGTGGGACATTTGAAGCTTACGTACTATCTGGGATGTTTTAATCTGAAATTTAGAAATAAATTAAACGAACAATTTTATTTTTAATATAATTTCAGTGACATGTCCAGGCAAATTTAGAGAAATCAATAATTACTATGGAAATTGCATCGGATTTCCTAATCCAAGTATTCTAAAAATTGGAACTGTCAAATGTAAAGGCAAGGCTTATTTATGCCTAAATCAGTAGAGATTACCATATCCCTGGCGGATTGGATAAATCGAGTTGTAACCGAATTGGGTTAAGATTCGGTTCCTTGTAAAATATTGTCATTAATCGACGAAATATGTTGTAAAATAATAATAAATAACTATTAGGAATGGTTAATAGACATTTAGAGTGCCTATTTATGCAATAATAAGAATGTATTATGTGCACGATCCGTTTGTAGTACAAATATAAAAAAAAAATTTTATTACGAACAAAAATTTTTTTAATGAAATATTTTTTTTGTATCAAAATTAATATTTCTCTGAATTTAAAATTTGAAAAAATTGTAAATCATTTATTTAAAAAAACAAAAATTTGTGGTGGTGTCAGTCGTTCTTGAACCACATTATATTAAGCATTTTATTAAGGAAAAAAATTTTTTTATCAAGAAAAAACGTTTCTTTTATGTCAAAATTAATCCTTCTAATTTTATTGAGAAACAAAAATTTATTTATCAAAAAAAATTTTTTTTATGTCAAAATTAATTTTTTTCATGTTAATGTGGAAAAAAATTTTTTATTTAGAAAAAAAAATTTTTTAGAGAAAGAAAGTTTTTTCTTATGTCAAAATTAGGGTAAGTTATCAATTACGGCGGGGTCATAAAAAATAACTATTATTACTATTATATTTAATATAGCTGTTGCAAAATGATTAAAAAAATTATTTCAATCTTTTTTTGATTCAATATTACTAATAAAAATGCACATTCAAACAATTATTAATTTAATTATATTATATACCTTCAAAAAAACCTACCAATTGAACCTAAATTGCAGTATACTAAGAATAATCAATTTTATTCCATTTTTTGGGATAGAATGTTTTCCTGGAAAATCGAAAATGAAAAAATTCTATACAAATTCTAATAAAATTAATCAGCAAGTCTCTATTATTTTTTTACCTTAAAACAACACGTAATAACCTTCAAAAAACCTACCAATTGAACCTAAATTGCAGTAGACTAAGAATAATCAATTTTATTCCATTTTTTGGGATAGAATGTTTTCCTGGAAAGAGAAAAAATTCCTTATACGAATTCAAATAAAATTAATCAGCATGTCTCCATTATTTTTTTACCTTAAATAAAACGTAATAACCTTCAAAAAACCTACCAATTGAACCTAAATTGCAGTATACTAAGAATAATCAATTTTATTCCATTTTTTTGAATAGAATTTTTTTTCAATAAAACAATAATTATTTATTTAAAGAATTGAAGAATAATCTGCTTTTTAGTTATTATTTTTAACAACATTGAGATAAGTAATTTGAAAAATTCTCCAAAAACTGCTTTTGGAAAATTCAATTTATATGTGTTTTTTCAATAAAAAAAATAATTATTGATTTAAAAAATTGAAAACTAATTCATTTTTTAAATATTACGTTTCACAATTTTTAAATTAGTAAATTTCAAAATTAAAAAAAACTGTTTTTTTCAATGATTTCTTGAAAAAAACATAAGAAGTATTTAATAATTATTTATTTAAAAAATTGAAGAATAATTCAATTTTTAAACAAATATTTTTCACAACTTTGAAATTTGCAAATAGCAAAATTAGAAAAAAACTGCATTTTTGTATGTTTTTTTTTAAAAAAGTAAATAAACAACAACAATTTATTGTTTAATTAGTAATAAACAATTTTAGTTATTACTTATAATTACTTATTACTTATTAATTTATCCTGGTCTTTCCAAAAATGGCCTACATATAATAAGCAATTCGTGTATTTTTCCTTACTTTTGACAACCAACTTAAACATTGTTTAAAAAACGTTTTAAACGCAAAATTTTGAATTTTTCGCACATAACAGACGGAGTCTATGTTATTCTGAACATTTTCCAAAAGGTTTTTTCAAAAAAAAATTCAAATGTGCTTTTCACATACCTGAGAAGTTTGCGTGTCATGCGCAATGATTTGTGACGTCACGAAGGTTCAAATGCTCTTAATCTTTTTCATTTCATTGAGGAAAAAAAAAAATTTTTATCATGAAAAAAACTTTTTTTTGTGTCAAAATTAATCTTTCTCAAAAAAAAAAATTTTATCTACAAAGAGAAGATAATATAAAATAAACATTTTTTTTATATGAACAGAAACGATATGAAGTATATGGTTCAGTCAACAAGGTTGGGGAGTCAAGATTATCTTAAGTAAATACTTCATTTATTGGCACTGCAGCGAGAAAAAAGATTTCTTTGATTTAAAGAAATCAATTTGTTTGGCAAATTTTTCTTTGATTCAAAGAAAATTGATTTATTTCAAACAAATTTGTTTCATTCAAACAAAAACTTTTTTGAATCAAAAAAATTTTCTTTGAAACTAAGAAGCTTTTTTTTGTTTCATAGAAAATATTTTATTTTGAATCATAAAGAAAAAACAAGTCAAAGAAACTGGTTTCTTTAAATCAAAGAAATCTTTTTTTTTGGGGTGTGTGCCAATTATTAGAACCCAGCATTGTTTTCTTTAAAATACACGTTATGTTTTTTTTTTCTTTAATGCACTTGTTTTAATTTTTTTACATTTTGATATTATATTTTTGAAGTCTAAATTAGTTTGCAGTAAAATTCAATTATTTAGAAAATTTAAAGGTATTAATAAGTGGGGTGCCAATAACTGCGATACAGAGTGAATACAATAGAAGTTCCTGTTAATTAGAACATTTTAATATATTTTTTAATAAAAATTGATAATTTTTTTAAATTCTGCATTACATTTTGAATCGATATAATATATCATGAATGATAGAGTCTTTTATCATTTAAATGCTAATTTAATTCATGAAGTCAAAAATTCAGCTTAAGGTGCCACTAACTGGGTCATTTACCCTAGTATAAAATTTATGTGATAAATTATTACTATATTACACATCTACAATAATCCATCCATATATATTTTTTAAGTACATGTCAGGGCCTTTTGATGTCGCTATCGTCGCGACTATATTAGTATATGTAAATTTTCAGATTATATCCTGTCTGATTGGACAGTATATAAGTATAATTTCAATGATGATTAAGTCAGACTGATCAACAGTGTTGTACGAATAATTCGCAACCAACTACTAAAATAATAGAATACCTGAATATATATATATATAACCGTTAAGCAGTAAAAAAATTTTAAAAATGAAAATTTTCATAATTTGTTTTCTATTATGTTTTATTATTTCCATCGAAGGAAAGAAGAACCAACCAGAACCCGTTTATATATACTACCACTCAAATGATGTAGCCAAATGTAAGTTTATATAAAATTGTTTGATAAATAAACATTACTTAATTACATTAAAGTAAATAATATATATATATATATATATATTAAATACTTATAATAAAATTATTATAAGTTAGTTACAGATAAAATTTTTAAACTAAATTTTTTTATCATTGAAACTTTTTTATCAGTGAAAGTAAATGAGTTATTTCAGCACAAAAATAATCTTAGTATACAAAATAATCTATTCAATTAGCCATAATTATATATATATATATATATATATATATATATATACATATATTTTTAAAAAATTCAAAATATCCAAAATTTAACAATTTTTTTTTGAAAATATTGAAAAAATTGTTTCCTCACGATCGGATTAGGCTTAAAATTTTCGTAAAAGAAAGTAGTTTTTTGAAATTTTTTTGAAATAATTCAAAGTATACAAACAGTTTTAAAAACAAGATTTTAACCTTTAAATTACAAATAATATAGTAAATTTTAATTTTATAATTTTTTGCATGAAATTTTTGAAAAGTTGAGTAAAAAAAACAAATTTAAAAAAAAAAACTTTTAAAATTGATGCATTTTTAAGGAAGTTATGAACATTCAGAATTAAAAAATGATTAAAATTCTCCAATTTTTGAAAAATTCCTATCTCGTAAGCGGCTTGATGAAAAAATTTGAAAAAAATTATGAAGCTTTTTATTTTTGGAGGGTACAAAATGGTAAAAAAAATTTGAGCCAAATCGAAGAGGTCAAAGTCGACGATATATTGGTTTGGCAGAGACAGTTCAATTAAACTATTGATTTATAATTAAATACATATATACATTTATAGATTATTTTTAAAAATATTTTTCATGTATTTTAACGCAATATTGTTAACAATAAATATATGAAAACCCTAACAGTAACGGATATTTCAGAATATCCTATGGATGTCCTCAAAATATTTATGGATATCCCTGAGACATCCTATGGTTATTCTAAATATCCGGATGCTGTTAGGGAAATGTTTGTTTTTAAAAAGTAGTTTATATATAATTATTATTCAAATTTGTTAAATTTTAATTATTTTTTTACTCAAGACTTTTAGTAAAATTAAAAAAAATTTACGTATACATCATTTCAGTAAATTGCCCAAATGATGATTTTAAAGAAGTTAACTATACTGGACGGTGCATGGGATTTGCAGATTCAGGATCATTAAGATTGAAACCAATGCAGTGCAATGGAAAGGCTTATAGATGTAAGATGTAAATCTACATGATTTCGAATAATTTGAAAAAAAATATATGTTTCTTTAATAAGTGAATTACGAATCACTTCGATTAAAATTTTCAGAATATATTTCTTATATTTGTAAAATCAGAGTTTCTTTGTACGAATTTTAATCAATGCACACAAAATTTAATAAAGTTTAAAATACATTTATTAAAAACTTTAAAAAAAAATTATTTTCTTTGAGATGAAAATTTTATATTTAATTTTGACAGAGAGAATAAGTTAATGATTTAATAGAAAATATAAAAATTAATTCGAGGTTATTAAAAAGCGTTTAAAACTGCCATAGAATAGGAGTCGAATTATTTTGTAAACATAAAAGATCCTAGATATTCTTAACTACCCAACCTTATCCCCTGACCTCTACTTCATATCATCTTTTGACATTTTGTAAAATAAATAAATCTGAAATAAATACCAATTTTCAAAATGTTTATTGTAGAAATTATAATTTAAAACATTTAAAAAATGCCTCTTGATATTTTTGGGGTGATTAATTTCTAAAACAAAAAGATATATTTGAGAAATTAAACATTTCAGGTTGTGTCGCTATACGTTCATAGAAAAAAAATTGAACTTACCTCGACGGAGCGATGGCCTCTATGCAGGGGCCATGCTTTATCTGCATATCCTCCTTCCTGTACTTCAGTCTGAAATAAACAAAAGTCAAAATAATTAAAAATCAGAAAAAATTACATTGCATTAAAAATGATAAAATAAAAAATCTTACTGTGGACACCCTTCGCCTCTATGCCCGATCTCCATCCCGGAGCGGCACTCAAACGGTTTTTTTTTCAAAATTGGCACTAAAAAAACATTCACTCGCGGTTTTAAAAATTTCCGACACTTACCGAACCACGTGTTAACTGTACGAAATAATACTTATTTAATTTTTACTACGATTGCGGTTTGAAATATTACGAACACTCCCGATAATAAAGAAATTAATTCACAAAAAAGTAAACATAGAAAATTAATATGTATGATCACTTTACTAACACGTGGTCTTAATTCCGAACACGAGGATATGGTATATATACTTTTCCAAAATGTAGCGATATGCCTGACCGATGCAACAAAATTGATCTCCCACTCGTAAAAAATTGATAAAGGGAAAGTTGCCATTTTCCACACTCGCCATTTGTCATCAATCTCGTCAACTATCGCACCCTGCTCTAGTGAAAATTTAGTGAAATTCTAGTTAAAATTAAAAGTATTAGGCTGCAGTCCCATGGCAGTGTTTTGCGTTTCGTTTATTGTCATTAGAACCAGAGTGTAAACATAGCAAACATATATCTGCATCTCTTTTACACTCATGGTTTAGTGACAAAACGCAACCCAAAACGCTGCCATGGGACTGCAGTTTAAGGATGGAGTTACATGTTGATGTAAATGCAGAATGCAAAACCGAAAATAATAAGAGTGAAAAGGACAGAGATATATATCACTATCCTTTCCAGGGATGGGTAAATGTCGCAAACTCAAGGTTTGCTACGTATGATACCTAAAATGTGTAGTATACGTAACAAATTGTCGCAAACCATATTATAAATATAACCTCACTTTTCGGATGTCAACTCGGACTCGCCTCATCATCATAACAGATAAATTATAATAATGTCTCAGGCAACTCATGTAAATAGATCATGGACGTAAGAAGTAAATGGACCCAGCACGTTGTATGTTTGATAGACAAGGGGGGTAAAACCGATCTTCGGTGAAGGGTGAGGCATTGGTGGAAGTACGTTGATTGGCCGTTTAGTACGCTTGCGCCGGCGCGCGTAATTTAAAACGAATAACATAATTATAAAAAGTAACTTGTAATAAAATCCGTAAATTTCAATCTAAAAAAATATGTTTTTCAAAAAAGTGTCCATTAAATTAATTAATAACATTTTTCTGTAAATATTTAATATGAAACAGATATTTTCCAAATACAAAACAATATGCAATAAATAAAATATAACACGATATAATAATGTTATTAATAATACAAAATGAATTATAAAAAAATTAATAAAAATAAATTATGAATAGATACATTTAAAAGAAATATGATCAACTATTTCTATAAATAATGAAATTAATAATTAAAAAATGTCACATAAAAATTGTTAAAAACATAACCTGTACCGTGAACAAACAGAGAAACACGAGATAAATACTTACCTGTGATATGTCACATTTTTCTTATTTCCATTTGTTTTAATAGTCCGAGAATTTTCACACGTTTTAATAATGCATTTTTCATATTTTTTTACCATGTTTTACTTATTCTAAGATTATAATAGAATGCATAATTAAAACCGCTAGACACATTGTCAACAAACAATAGTCGATTTCCATTTTGCATCGTCTGCTATACACGACGCAATGTTCGACCAATCACAGAATTTCCACCAATTCATGCGCACTGAACAGTTCTCCTCTTACCTACATGAGTCCCCACCCCGCAACTTTGTGCTGGGTCCATTTACTTCTTACGTCCATGAAATAGATCTACTGGTAAATATAAAGAGATGAAATCTTCTTTAAATAATAATTTATTGCACTTCAGTTTAATAATTTTTATTAAGTTAATAACCTCGATTCATTTTTAAAAAGAATGTCCAGAAAGCAATAATCAAACGAATCAAACAAAAATTCAAAGACTAAACACATAGCGGGAACCAACTAGATTGAGGTTATATTTGCTTCTGACCATTACGAGTGCCTACGTCATGAAATGTAACAAACGTTGTGTAGCAATCTGGAGACGCTTGCTTTTCACCGAACTATCAGTACGTCGAACAGACAAAATGTCGAAAAGCCAATACGTCGAACAGGCAAAATGTCAAGAATCCAATACGTCGAACTGACAAAATGTCGAAAAGTCAATACATCGAACAGACAAAATGTCGAAAAGCCATAACCTCGAGAAGCCAAGACGTCGAACGATCAAAATGTCGAAAAGCCAAGACGTCGAACAGTCAATACATCGAACGGACAAAATATCGATAAGCCAAAATATCGAAAAGCCAATACGTCCAACTGACAAAATGTCGAAAAATTTTATTGACTTAACTATATAATTATACTTGATAATAAAATTTTTCGACATTTTGTCAGTTCGACGTATTGGCTCTTCGATGTTTTGACTTTTCGATATTTTGTTCGTTCGATATATTGACTGTTCGACGTCTTGACTTTTCGAATTTTTGACCGTTCGACGTCTTGGCTTTTCGAAATTTTGACCGTTCGACGTATTGGCTGTTCGACGTCTTGCCTTTTCGAGGTTATGGCTTTTCGACATTTTGTCCATTCGACAACTTGCCATTCGATATTTTGTCTGTTCGACGTACTGACAGTTCAATGAAAAGCAAGCGTCAGGAGAAAACAAACAGACGACACAATTTTATTCTTAAGGCCAGGTCCAAGTGAGGCAGCGCCATCTACATTGAAACTAAAATTTTTGAAAATTTTCAACAGCCTTTTCTTGAAAACAAGAAGGTAAAATGCTTTTTCCTTTATGGATAATTGATTATTGACAAGATATACACCAGCTAAAACTTTTTTTGAGTTAAAATAATAAAAAAAATTTCATGTCAATAAATTAAATATGAGCACTTTTTTCACAAAAACTGTAACAGTACTTTCTCAGAAATTACAATCAAAAATGCAATTTCCATTTGGAAAATTAATAAACGCTAAAAAATACACGACCTAAGATTTACCAATCACGAAAATAAAAAAAAAAATTTTATTAAATATTTAACATATTGATACTGCTTTACTGATTGTGACAGCCCTTTGGTAGATTATGTATTTCAGGTGGTTAGCAACAGCGCCAATCTCCTCCTTTCGGCAAAACTGCGAAACGTCTGGTGACATATATAACCTACCAAACGGCTGTCATAATGAGTAAAATATGTTATGTTAAAAAACTTTTTTTTTTGTTATTTTCAAGATTGGTAAATCTTAGGTCGTGTATTTTTTAGCGTTTATTAATTTTCCAAATGGAAATTGCATTTTTGATTGTAATTTCTGAGAAAGTACTGTTACAGTTTTTGTGAAAAAAGTGCCCATATTTAATTTATTGACATGAAATTTTTTTTATTATTTTAACTCAAAAAAAGTTTTAGCTGGTGTATATCTTGCCAATAATCAATTATCCATAAAGGAAAAAGCATTTTACCTTCTTATTGTTTTCAAGAAAAGGCTGTTGAAAATTTTCCAAAATTTTAGTATCAATGTAGATGGTGCTGCCTCACTTGGACCTGGCCTTAAGGCCTTTCTACAATAGGCCCCTATAAATGTTTGCATAGCGTGACTTTATTGAACATATTGAAGAAAGGCCTTTATGGGAAATAAAATCTTTTTCCAGTTTTATTAATTCTACTCATATTTTGAACATGGAAAACGTTTGTTGACATGAAGTAAAAATAAATAGTGTTTTGCTAATTAAATGTGCTATGAATTTGATTTAATTACATTTGTGAAATCTTTGAATTTGTAATTAAATCTAACTTTGTAGGTTAGAGATGTTTACTAACTTGAAATTTTTTTTTACTGGTGCGGTAATTCTCACTTAAATATATCTCTTTTAATAACATTTGTAATTAATATTGCGTTTAATAATGCTGTTAAAGTGTAAAATGAGCTTAGTAAACAAACACCCCTAACCTTAAAATTTATATTTATCACGAATTCAGAGTGTCGATTATGTATATAATTTGATTTGATTCTGACGTCAAATTCAAATTTATTTTTTGATTTGATTTTGACGTCGTAATAAATTTGAATTTGACGTCAGAATCAAATCAAATTACATAATTTTTAATTTAATTTTATTTTTATTATATGTTAACAACTGTTTATTCTATGTTTAAAATATAAGTAAAATTAATAAAAGTGGAAACAAGTTTTTTTTCCCCATAAGAATATAGTAAACACTTGGTTCGGAAGTGTCCGAAATTTTTAAAACCCCAGAGTGAGTGTTTTTTGTGTCAATTTTTGAAAATACCCTTCGAGTGCCGCTCTGGGATGAAGATTTGGGCATGGGCGAAGGGTGTCCACGGTAAGATTTTTTATTTTATACTCTCTAAATCTGAATTAGTAAAAAAGTTTACTAATTTGAATTAGTGACTTACTTTTTGCTTCTCAATTAGTAAAATTTTACTGATTATTCGTAACTTTTACTAACAATTAGTAAAATTTAACTAATTCTAAAGTAAAAAAGTGCGTCACTAATTTAAATTAGTAAACATTTTTACTAATTCAGATTTAGAGAGTAATTTTTAATAATTGTAGAAAAAAAATATATGAAGAATTTCATTTATTTTTATGCAATGCAATTTTTTTTTGGTGATTTTTCATTATTTTGACTTTTTTATTTTTCTGACTGAAGGACAGGAAGGAGGATGCAGAGAACGCATTGCCCCCTGTATAATTCCCCGGTCTTCCCGCATAGAAAAGGGGCCACTGGGGGACTGGTCCAGAAGAGACGAAGTTGCCATCGCTCCGTTAAGGGAATCCGCAATCGGTAAGTCCAATTTTTTTTTTCTACGAACGTATAGTGACACATCCTGAAATGTTTATTCTTTTAAATATATCTTCTATTTTAGAAATTAATCACCAAAAAAAAATATCAAGACAGTTTTTTAAATATGTATGAAATTATAATTTCTACATTAATAATTATGAAAATTGTTATTTATTTCAAGTTAACATGTTTCAATTTACCCTTCCCCTTTGTTTTCACTATATTGCTTTTTAATATTTAAACATATTTTACTTATGTACAATTGTTTCTACAAATTTTTATGAAACATAATTTATAAATTCTGTTTTGAATTATATGCATTATGTAATTCTTTCTGAAAATTGAAAAATAATTATTTTTAAATCCTAAATGTTTTATTATTTAAATTACATTTCTTTGAGATTAAATTAATAAAATTTTAATAATTATTAAATTCATCCCTGTATGATTGCTTCTTTTGTGCGTTTGAGTTCAGGTGTTGGATTCATCCCGGGACGTTATCCCTAGTATAGGTCTGTTTGAATCTAGGCATTAAGTGTATAATACATGTATATAAGATAATATTTAATATTAAATCTGTAAACAAAAATGCTCTATTAGGTTTTCTGGAAATTTAACCTTGAAAATGGAAAAAATACCGTTTTTAGGATACTTCGATTTTTAATTTCGGTACAAAAAATTTGGGTCTTTTTTTTACTTATTTCACAAATATATTTCAAAGATTATATTTTCCTAAATAATTTCAAATTTTGATCTTTTAAAAATATGTCTATAACATCTACAAAATTTAAGCAACTAATTTAGACTGAGTCATAGAAAATTGTCTACATATATGAATATTAAAGACATTTTTATGTCTGTTATGGAAATTATATTTAACTTTGCATTAAAACTTTCATTATTTTAATTTAATTTTAATAATTTTTTAGAAGCCTAAAATTAAGTGATCAAATATATTTATTTTTTACAATATATTATTTATTATTTACATAGTATATCTTGTAAAAATAATACATTAAATAAATTTCATAAATTAACTGACTTCATATATAATAATTCATATTGTATTTCCAATTTTTCAAAAAAATAATATATTCTCACAAACTATATTTTTTTAATTTCAATAAAAAAAAAAAAAAAAATCATCTAAAGACGACATAATAACGTTGCAAATGTAAATTTCCTTAATAAATTAATCACAATAAATATTTTAAATATTGAAAAATTTTCCTGAGAGAATATTATTCTTTGAAAACCATTAAAAATAAAATTGTAAAATTTTATTACAATAGTTTTATTAATTTTTTTTTTTAATAACATTTGTTGAACATAAATTCATCATAATAATTATTTCCTATATCGTATATATTGACATTTCTTTTAAAAATTTGCTTTACATTCAAAACCTGTTTGATTGCACAATAGTGGGTTATCTGTTGTAACTTTTATGTCATTTAAATTAGTGCACCATGTGATATATGTGACTTCTTTAATTTCAGATTCATATGAACAAGCATCTAAAATTGGTATAATATTTTTTATATAACTCATAAAATTAAAAAATCAATTAAAATAAAGAAAAACTAAAAAATAAACTGTATCTACCGTTGAGGATAAATCACTATATATAATAAATTGTGTTAGATTTTCTTTCAATAAAGTTTAAATACTTACTTCTAGCTTCCTGTAAAGTTCTGAATATTTTTTTAATGGTAATAATAAGCATGTCATTTCTCTTTACCCTTGAAACGGTACTGTTAATTTTACTCAAATGACGAAATAAACCATTTGATGTCGTTATATCATTTAAAGTGGTTTCACTCGTGACAAACATGTACAATAAAAAACAAATAATTAAAATTTTCATTTTTAAAAATTAAATATATAACAATTAACAAGAAAAATATTAATAGTTTTAAAAACAAAAATTTTCTAAAGTGCTTATAAGGCAATAAAGAAATTTGTCGATTTGAATTATTAAATTCAAATACGTATAAATATGACTTATATACCATGAATATGGAAATGTCAATAGAATGATAAAAATTTAAATTTTAAGAACACAAATATTGTATTATTGCTAAATACAGAGTAGATTTGAATTATTCTAGACCATATTAATCAATATTAGCAATGAACTAACGATGGAAATTTTGTATAACAATTGTTCAAATAGTTTTGAAAATTTACCTCCTTAGTTTTAATAATGTTCTTCAATATATATACGTAAAATATTATAACTGACGTAAAATTAATAAAAAATTAAATCATTTTAAATTCTATCTATATAAGTTGTAAGACTTAAATTATTTTCAATCAGGAAAAATTTTTTGTCAATTTCTATTTAAATTGATCTACTAATTTTTTTTATATTCCTTTCTGTATATATATATTCTTTATATCGTTTTATCTTTTAACCAATTGAATTTATGTTCAACTTTTTTTTTTCCTTATTTACAAAAATTATTTGAAAAAATATTTCATAATTTTATAAAATATCCGTAAAAAAAATAATAGTTTGTTGATTTAAAAATACATAATCTTAATAATTCAGGTGAACTAACATTGTTACTTTTTTGGTAATGAAAAAAAAAGCATCTCTATATGACACATCTGTCTTCATTAATTGTTGAATTCATTTTCAATTAATGAAATTTTTAAATTTAAAAAATTTTTTTTTAAATCATTAAATGAAAATCTTTACCTTCTAAAATCAGAATTTTCAAAAGTCGTGACAATTCTATAGTAATTTTTATTAGTTCGTGACGTATTCGCAAACGAGATGCATGAGATAGAAAAAGACACAAATTGTATATCTCTGTCCTTTTTTAACTCATGCTTCACATTCGCGCAGCTATTGTGCGTATAGCCTTAATGTCTACAATCATACGCCATGAACTAATAAAATTATTATACAAGTGTGTCACACAACTTTACAAAATGCCGTCAAAACGGAACATATTTCACGTATATTACTCATATTTGGTTTGCTACCCAACGTTTGTTACATTTTATTACGTCAGTCAAAAGTAAACATAACCTCAATTTTTCTGTTTGCCGGCAACCTTGATTATTATTATTTTATATTTGAGTTCTGCCTTCTATTATTTATTGCTTGTAAAATGAAACGAGTTGTAAGGCCTCTCAATATTCAATATTAATCAAAAAACATTCGTATGGAAATTATTTGAATTCTTATGAATTATTAATCTTATAATTATTTTACCACGTTGGCCCTTATTTTGACAATAAATATCTAATATTTTCCTCTCGTGAGTCGTCTGATTGTAATGAATTGCTCATTTATATTTACCTTTTAAAAATTAATTTCAGTTAATGTTCTAAAAAAAGTGAGGTTATGACATTAATTTTGACGTTTGCGACAATTACGTAGAAAACCTCGAGTTTGTTACATATACCCATCCCTGCAAAAAGATAAGGAGAGTCATTCGACAAGGTTGGGTAGTCAAGAGGATCTCTTATGTTTACAAAATAAGTCCAGCTGTTGTCCCATAATTGTATCGACTAATTATGATAGAAATTCACAAACATCTTCTTTGAAAAATTTTTAATTTTTAAAAACTAAAAGGGAATAATCTTTTTTTTATATTGAAAAACTATTCTATGAAATTTGTATTTAAGATTTTTGAGGACAAAAGAGTAAAATTCTTCGTAATACAGAAGCGCCAGTGGCGCCTGGTCATCAGGTTTATAATTTCTTGAAAGATAATTTAACCGACATCGTTCAAGTATATTAAAAGGCGCAGACCAAAGGGAATTTTTTTTCCCTCACGTCAAAAGTCTTCACTGGTAGCTGGGAACCAGAGAGAGAGAGAGAGCTGAGAGAGAGATTTAGGATTATGGGGAGAGGTGAAGTATACCCAACTCAAGCATTCCTTGTGCCAGGGTTCACCGACTGATCTAACGCCAGAAAGGTCAGCGGGAGACTTCATCTCAAATGCTACTGGTTGTTTCTTTAAACTCATCCTCCATCAAGCCGACATTTGTTCTCTTTCTCTCTCCAAAACAACTTGAAAAACTTTAAGCCTGAATTGAAAAAAAACACTATAATTATCTCACTGGTATCTTATATATATGTTCCTTTAAATCTCTCAAAAAAATCTTGGCACTTGTATTGGTCTATAATTTTCAATATTGTGTCAATTCTCTTTGAAAATCGATACAACTATTTTTCTTTTTCCCAAAAAAAATGGGAGTATACAATTCACCCATATATTCCGTACTTCCGGTTTGACGGCATTTTGAAAAGTCGTGACACTTCTATAATAATAATTTTATTAGTTCATGACGTATTCTCAAACGAGATACATGAGATAGAAAAGGACACAAATATATATTTCTGTCCTTTTCTTTTTGCTTCATATTTGCGAATCTATTGTAAGTTGGCCTTAATGTATATACACATATACGCCTGTTCTAGTAAAAATTTAGTAACTGTATAGTAACTTTTAATTTTAACAATAAAGTCACTAAATTTTTACTAGAGCAGGCTGCGGTAGTTGACGAGAATTATGATAAATGGCGAGTAGGAATTTTGGCGAGTGGGAACAATGGAAACCAACCTTAAACGCAGAAAAAACAACACATGTTCAGTTCCCGCATTATGATCAGCAATTGTTATTAGAAATTAAATTTTAAACACCGCGTAAATATTGAAATGTATAAATTAATTTTTTTGTTGATTTATGACGTATGCGAAACTTTTGGCAATATACAAAGTCGTTATAACTCGCAGATAACAGCACAGCATGAGTCCATTCGAGTACGCGCGTCTATCTAACGTCAGTATAAATGTCGGAGCGTTCCTATGTCATCAGTGAGTGAATGTGAAATAACTTTTTTTTTTCTAGAAAAAATTTGAGAGAAAAAAAATTTAAAATTTTAGTAAGCAGGTTTATAAAATGAACACGACACGCTAAAATCAACGGGGGCCAATGAAATTTTTTATTTTTCTCTTGTCCTTATCCTCGTTGGCTACCGTTAAGTTTTGCTTTTAGATTTGATACCAAACGTGATACGTAATTTATGTGAAATATTATTAATAAAAATATCTGGGTAATTTACATGGAAGGATGCCATTTTTCACAATTCTGGGTCAACTACCGTACCCTGCTCTAGTGAAAATTTAGTGGTTAAGTTTTAATTCTGTCAAGGCTGTTCTACAATATACTTTCTTTACATCGGCAATTTCGAAAATTGCACAGAAAATAAAATTAAGGAGAAGAAGAAGAAATACAACGAGTGTGATATTGGATTTAGTGGCTGAAAGCAAGTGTTTCATACTAGATAATGAATAATTGGGGAAAATACATGATGAAACAGGGAAAAATCTCAAAATGGTTCATAGTTATAAAATTAAAAGTTAGTTCCTACTATTTATTTGTCGTAATTCTCGTCAACTACCGCACCCTGCTCTAGAGAAAATTTAGTAACTTTATTAGTAAGATCAGAAGTTACTAAATTTTCACTAGAGCATGGTGCGGTAGTTGACAAGAATTATGACAAATGTCAACCTTCCACTTTCGCTCATTGGGTAAACATTTTTTTAAAATATTTTTCCGTGTATAATTTACACCATGAGATATAAAAACTAGAAATTATAAAATATCAAATTGATTTTCAAATAAAAAGTTCCTTAATGAGAAAACAAATTAAATTTAAAAAAAAACTATTGTTGAACGTAAATTTTACAAACTTAATGAAGTGTGAAATCGAGGGAATTAAATGCACTGAAAGTTAAACCTGCGACTAAAAGTAAATCGAATCAGCTTCGGTCCCCCCCAAAATCGATTGCATTTTGAATAGAGTGAACGACGAGAGAGTATTTTATATGTAGAGAAAGAGAGAGAGAGAGGTTATTGTGTGTGCGTACCAATCCAATGACTGACACTGTGTAAAAATTGATTAGGAGATTTTCTCGTGCTGCTTTGCAAATAATGCGCTTGTAACTGAGCGCTCTCGTATATATATATATCGCGATAAGTTCACTCTTCTGTGTATAATGTGGTCAATCACAGTCAGATGCTTCACCAGAGACCAACTGTTCATTGCGCACAACCAGAACATGTAAAACTCAGCGCGTGCCCTCTTTCATTTCAAAGAAATGTTATCGGCAGAAAATATTTTTTTCTCTCCTTTTTTTTTTGCTAATAAGAAACAGTTTCCCATTTATGAGGAAAATTTTATTTTCAGATTTGTCAAAAGAAGCTTTATACGGATTTTTTTTATATATTCGATGGATAAAAATAAATGTTAAAAATATAAATAATAATTTTTTAAAATCTTTTTTTGAGGGATTAGCTTAGGAAGAAACTCGAGGGGGAATTTACTAGTTAAAAACGTGTACACTTGACTACCGGCATTACACCTCATATTACCCTTATTACTAAGTTATTACACGTTATTACAGAGTATTACACATTATTACAGAGATATTACAGATTTTTTTGCGTTATTACAGCACCGTAATAACGCATTATTACACGGTATTACACGTTATTACACAAGTATTACAGGAAGAGTGTACACTTGACTACCTGAGTAAATTCCCCCTCGAAGAAACTAGTTTTCCTCGATATGTTAATAAAAAAGAGAGAAAAAATCAACTTCAACTTTAAAAGTGTAAAAAAAATCTCTATTTCTAAAGAAGATTTTCTATAAACCTTTACATTGGAAAATAAAATTGAATTGAATATAATAAAATCATTCAGGTGGATTGAAATCGCGATTGTCAGTATCCAGATCATCGAGATGGATTGAAAGAAAGGTTTAGGTCTCGTGCTTGGGAAAAATCATACACGCACACACAGAGGAACATTCGGCTTTTGATGAAGGCTTCTTCTTGAGTATCGTTCTTTTTTTTCTTCCTTCATTTTTTTGAGAAGGCTCTGCATTCCTAGACAGCTTATTGGCACGACTATCATATCGACCATCGTTTTCGGCTTCTCGTATCCAAAGGTAG